TCCGTGGCCGCCGTCATGCCGGGTTTTTTTTCCACGCGTTCGTCCACCTCCGGCTCGGCCGGCGTTAATAATCGCCAAGTCAAACACACAACGCGTATTATAATATGGCCTGCACTGCAACGATACAGCTGTTCATTTTACCATTATCATATCCAGCCGGTCGCCGTACACCGTCTTAATCCCAATTACCCGCAGGGATCTGTGGTAAATATGTTATAAATGTACTACTTGCACTGCCCGGACGGTGAAAAACGAGCCGAAAGAAAAAAATATTTATATTCTTCTGGAGTCACTGGCCACACGGCCTCTGCTGATGTTTAATAGTTATGGGGATCTGTTTGTAAATTAATATATATTACCCCCGAAGAGGCGGTGCGGGTCGAAAACGGTATAAACACAGTGACCGACCGCGTGCCGGCGCCGATAAATCTTCCGGACGCTTCCTAAGCGCAGCGTTTTATACAATAATAATAAACCTCCTACGGTATATTATATTATTATATGTGACTTATTTTTTTTCTTTTCGCTCTATCTTTATTTTTCGGCAAAGCTCTTCGCCGCGTCGCTTATGTCTCGTTTGCCGGAATCTACCAAAAAAGACACTTCGAAATACATCAAACACCATTACAATATACGGTTAGCAGCTAGCAGAACTGTAACGCATATTACCCGCCCTTTTTCGTCTTAACCTCTCTTTGTGATACAGTAATAATGACATTACTCATGTATATGTTTTTCGGCAAACCTTTCGAAGAAACTTTATTTTTTACTAAATAACACGATACAAACGCAAAATTCCTACCGGTCCATTTGTTATTTGCTTACTGTGATTTTTGTATTTGATATACACTTTAACGTGTCCAACGATTTTTTTTTCTTCCAAAATAAAATAAAAGTATACATTTTTTTCTAGCAAATCTTATTTTATTGAATCGGATAATTATTTTACATAAAAAAAAAAAAAAAATAATAATAAATTATTATATAATGTATTTTACATACATTATATACTTATGAAATAATATAGGCTAATTTAGATACCTTAAAAGTTTAGATGATTTTTTTTTCTATTGACTTGATCTAGTATTCAGAAACCCTTGCGAAGATACACGAATTATTTGTGTTTTTATGAGAACATTTCCTAGAGGACGGATATTTTAACAATATATTGTTCGATTACACACTTGATGTGGGTACATCAGTGTCATTAGACGTATTGGCTAGTGTGATTTCCGAATTCAGATGTGCAAAGCTCTAGAGGAAAGATTTTCATTTGAGAATGGTTCGTTGTCGGTTCGACGATGGTCTTCGGGCGTTTTACATTGAAGAGCAGCGGCTACGACCCTTGGGGTCAGACTTCTAGACGGAATCGTCTGCGCTAGACATCTAAAAACATAAGAAAACAATAATTGAAATCTGGGAATGATATATATATATATATATATATATGTACGAGAGTTCGGTCGATCCGTGTCGAACGAATACATATTATTGTTAGACCTTTTTCTTGGTATAAGATCAACAAATTAATTTTTAGCTTCGATGCAAAGCTATTGGTTTTACTCTGATTTGTGTTTTTTTTTTATCTGTATACACTGTAACTTTTTTAATACTGGACCAATTCCTTCGAGTAGTAACTCTATAAATCACAAAATTTGGGGGGGGGGGTTAAAGTTGAAAAAGTTTACTTCTTCACGGTCGAAATTTGAAAAAACAAATAAGAAATATTTATTTGGTATGCCCGCACACGTCAGTTGTATCAAATTTAAATTAAACCCATTTCCCACCCCTCTAGAAGATGTTCAAGTTTTTTAGTTTTTTTAGTTTTTTAGCCGTAATTTTAAGACCTTCAAGTTTAAAATTTGTCATTAGTTAGAACTCATATGTATCCATAACATATTAAACAGAAATTAAATTCGGCACTACAGTTTTTTTTAATTGCCGGAAAACTGTGTTTTCGCAGATTGCGTATATTTAACAAAAACTCCTGAAATCTTTAAAAAAAAATTAAAAAACGAACAGACGCTAATAACTGTCGGTTGGTAACATCGACCCGTGTTAGGTTAGGTTTGGTCCCAACGGTCGGTATCATAATATTGTGTTTACTAGTAGGGAGGTTGTAAACGAGTTTGTTCGGATGACCATTGAGTTTAGAGTGGAACCTTGCATAGTAGATTATGGCAGTTTAGTGAACTGTTTTGGCGTTTAAGTCTGAACAATTACTTCGACTAATGCAAACGCGACTATTTATGTACTATAACAATAAAAATAATAATAATCCAACTTATTAAAAGACTACAGCTTTTTTAAATTATATTATAAACTTCAATAAGTCCAATCGAATTCTATTTTTCTAAAAAACAAAAAATAGATAAAAAAGTCGTTAGAAAAGTCAAAAAAGTCCTTTTTTAATTAATTAATTATTCATTAACTGGTTTAAATATAAAAGAAATGGCGATGGTAGAACACAGACAATGTTGTTGTACATATTATGTGAAAATTTGGTTTCTTAGTTTTGATTACAGCCTTCGTAAAATTTATCCGCGCAAGGCGGGATTTTTGAAGAAAATAACGGGTGTGTGGCGCTCTCTTAAGACCTCAGAGTAATATTTAAAAAGTGAAAGAGGCGAATCGTTATACAAATATCCATAAACACTTGAGGGTAGTATTGTATAAGGCTGGGCCATTAAAAGAGCTAAATAGAAATAATGGTATTAGATTTTTAAACTAAAAATCTAACTTGACGTTAAACAAATTAATTTAGTACTTATGTAAATTGCAGTTCAGTTACATGTTAACAAACTTTTTTTTTATAAATATATGAATTACCTACAAACAGAGACTACACAATTTATGAGGAAATAGGATGCTTTTAAATGTAAGGTTTTTATACACTTTCTAAAATTCCTACAATATACACTAATTTGTAGTGTATATTGTAATAACACTATATTTGAAGGATATTATTAAATAATTATACAACACATTGTTTTTGCTTTTAACTTCAAATTATTTATTTCACTAAATTTAATTGCAAATTTATAATATAATGTTACCTCGGATGCCATTTGAAATTGCAAGTCAAATTCATATTTTAAATATCAACATTGAACCTAGAAAATATAACACGTCAATTTAATAATAAATTTAACATGGAACTTTTTTTTTATACTATATAAAGTACATATTATATATATTTATTATATTATATATTGTACCGTTGCGCGTGCAGCACGATTTACCCGTAGGAATTCAACGTTCAGATCGAGGGGGATGCAATCTCTAACCCCATCGTCGCTTCGAGTAGCGCCCGAGGTCCGTGGTCGTTGCCGCGCGTTTCCCTTTGGGACGTTGGCGTAAGGAACGTAGGGCAAGGTGCACACACACACACATACACACGATTTAGCGTCTTAGAAACAGTCGCCGGGTCCGCTTGCACTAGGTCAAAATAGGGAAGGCGACGGTAGACGAGCGCGAGCTTTCTAGTTGATGAAATCGCATTCCGCAGAGCCAAAAACCCGTAACCGATGCCGGCTCGGTTATGTGTAAAAAACAAATTCGAAAAAATATTGTGCGCCCAACTGCATTCACGGTTGCCGGCGGTATTCGTTTCGACGAATTTGTTTTGCTACTTACGCATATCGGGCAGATACGCGTGTCGGAGAATTTGTGTTTTATGGTCTTCTCGCCGTGAGCCCCATCCCCTCTCTCATGCTCCCCCTCCCCCGACCGCAGATCGCCCATGTGAAAACTAAAGAATTCGTAAAAGAAACCCTTCGTCTCGTTCACTGCAAAACGGCCACCGGTTCGTCCGCCGACAGACTGTGGTAGGTTATAAAAAAAAATCCAAACTATATCGCATGTGTGTTGATCAATTAGACCACGAGTTCTTGACATTTTGAGGCCAAGCCACCTTTTATAATGTTGTATGACGGTGTCACGCCCCGCACCACTATACAATTGAAGTATATTTAATACAAGTACTATACATATATCATACATGTATATAAATATATATATATACTGTATTGGATTAATGTAAATAAAACTTCAATGTAATTTTTTTTTAAATATACATACACATGTAATTAATAATACAAAATCAAATATAAGTAATCAGCGTAGTAAAAAAATGTCTAAGTTGGTTATTTAAAAATTTTCACACGTCCCTAAAGGACACTCATGTTGAGAGCCACTGATTAATGCCTTGACAAAAACGGTATTGGGACATTTGACGCCTGAAAATTTTCCCACTAATTTCTTTGTTTACTTCAAAGAATAATTGCAATCTGTACAATTTTATTAAACATTAAGTAAATAACGTTAACATAGGTTTACAATATAACATAAATTACATTTCCAAGGGAGGCTATCCTGTAATAAAACCCTAATACAGGAAATTTCAAATTTTATTTAAATATTGAATTTTAGGAATCTAATAGGTGTATACGCACCACCGTCTTTTTAGGTGACAATGGAGATAGTCAGGAATTGCGTTAGAGCTTAGGTGTGTAACTATACTGGGTTGGAAAATTGGCCTAATTTCAAATGGAATTTTTTATAATCCGTTTTTGCTAAATTGAGCTTACTGTATATTATATATGCTTAATATAAATATTGAACTTTGTATACAAATTATAGTAGTATGAAACCCATCAAGACCTTATATCTCTAAATGTTGTAAGATGTGTTTCCTTGAACGACTAAATTAATTGGGAGTTATTTAGTTATCAATTCTTGGTGTCGTATAAAAATAGAAATTTATCGGCCGATAAAAATAGTAATTTGTCTAATCATTTTAAATACCTTTATAACTTATAAGTACCTCTTTATAAAACAATAAATCAATTATTCTGTTTAAAGATGTAGATTAAATTTGTTTGATCAGCTGTAACCCTTTATACAAATACTGTAAGGTTGTGTTATTACACAACCTTAGCTAAAGAACTAATATTACTCAGTCAATGTGCGTTGAGTGTTTTTAGATAATGTTTATTATCAAAACTAATTATTTGTAAACTGTATGGTTCCATAAAAAATGTATGTTTTTTATTCTACAATTAAATAAACATAAAAGTGCATATTATACAAAGAAAAGTCAAACGAATAACGTGTACAGTTTTGTCTGTTTTAAGTAGTCTTCTTCAGTAATTTTGGCCCCAACCACTGTATTCCAATCGCACCTATTGGTGCTGTCACCAATATGGAAATTACTGCTACAGTCAATAGCTGAGTGGCAGATTCCACATCTTCGTCTGTGCCTTTTGTTCTTGCCCTGTCCAGAGCTACTGGAGCCAATGCAGCCTAAGGAAATGCCTTCGATTAGTTAGATGCATAATAGAACATACATTTTATTTAGAATCTTAGTTTAATAATAATTATGATTCTCATAAACCTTATTACTTAATAATTTCAAGTATTTTAACAATATAACAGATACCTGTACGGTGGCTTTTGGCAGCCACGCTATGTTAATGAAAAGCATTTCTTTCCAGTCGAATCCGGTGCCCGATATACAGCAAGACGTAACGATCAACCTGATCTGTATAAAAAAAACCAACAACCGTTTTGCTAAGTATTTTATAGTAGTCAAAATTTCAACGGACTGTAGCTACTTACGATTAGTCCTCCCGCCAACACTATCAAACCGACCAAGAGTATGTCGCTGCCTTGGAGGAGCTCAAATTTGATTTCGGTTCCTATGGACGCGAACAATATCGGTTGTAGAGCAAACCAAAACTTGTCAAACATTCCTTCAACCGTATTTTTCTGCTTGGAAAGCGGTTCAATTTCGAAAACTGGCACGCCAATATGCTCGAGGCGCTTTTTTAATCTCCATTTCCAACCAGTGTTTGCAACAAATGCCGATATGATGCAAGCCAGTGGTCCAGCGCCCGGATATCCATACAGCTGACTTCCCGTGACCGCCAAAAATCCACCAGCGCCCAGAAGGAAACATCTTTTGGTCATCGTTGCCTGTTCTAGCTTATGGGTAAAATGTTGTATAAGTACACGACGGACGGTCACATTTATTAGACATTTTAAAATGAATGACCCAATGAGCAAAGTATAAAATCAGTATTTCAAAAGCATCGTTTTTTTTATCATAAACAGTTTAAAATAATTAATCATTAACCATTAATTAAATATATTACAAATAGACAACGCTAACGTAACCATCAGAATTATTATTAGTATTATTTTACCTGTATTTCTAGATTTCATTGTGATAAAACTATTATGAAATCAAAAAAATATAAATACTATAAAAATAAAAGTATAATAATATTATAATACTTGATCTGCAGTTTGGTCTTTGTGGTCTTCGTCGTCTCCGTGGTTGCTGTATTTATTAGCCCATGGCGAAGGTGGCATGTATATCATTATCAAACCCCACACCATTCCTAATGCCACACCGATGCATACGTCCACTGGACCTTGGATAATCTTACTTACCAAATTACCTGTGGCATAATAGATCCAATGTCTGATATCAGACTTACAAAAAAAACATTAAAACAATTTTCGAATGTAAATTTTTAATATTGTAGAAGAAAAATGTTTGTTAAATTATTGTTATTGGCGGGCGGTCAATATACTGGCAGACGTTATAAATGAATAAATATCAAACTAAGCACTCGATTACTTACCTTCAGAGAATACCAAACCGAGTAATACGCCAAAGGCGCTAATAGACAATATATCGTCGAGACTAGACGCTGCTATCACCAGAGTACCTACTCCGTTTGACTCGCCATAGCCTCTGTTTTTTAACCATAGAAGACGTGGTACCAACACAGCGGGACTGACGGCCGACAAGACAAATCTAAATTAAAAAGGACAACAAATCATAATCATTTACCTGTTTTGACCGCATAAATCTACTTAGGCGGTTAGGAAAAAATTGAAATTGTGAGTAAAGTAAATATTTGTATAAAATGAGTAAGGCGCAAGTAAATCATTCTAAATATTATAAAATAATTTCGAACCATAAGCAACTCTGGTATTATGATAACACAATAGTTCACGTGAATCGATATGTAACCTCGCTTGAATAGAATTTAAATAAAATTTACCCTAAAAGGCCATTTTGACTGTTTGCTCCAGTTTGTAGTTAAAACTATATATATAATGGAATAATTAATAACACAGACAATGATGACAGTATCACGTATTTATATCTATTTGGTTTTTATAGTCGAGTTTAATGCCATCAGCCATGTCAGTTAGATTCTATAATTTTGAGATGCACACATTGACAACATTATCAATACAGCTGTTGTGTACATATATTTTTAATATCATACTTCAATCTCCATACCAAGTATAGTAGTAGTAAGCCATGAGCTTTTACTGTGTTTGTTTCCGGCTTCAAAATTTCAATCGCAATACTACTGTACACAAATAATTGATTTTTAATTTAAGAAATATTATTATATGTGTAATAAACACTTTTCTTAGATATACTATACACTATGCATTGTTGTGTTATCTCGTATTAGTTGTGTTTGAGTGTTAAGTTATGTAAAGCGAAATTATAACACATCAGTATAATGATTTATTTGGCGGGCCATCATGGAAATTCCCATATTTATTTTATTTTAATTTCCAAAATATTTGAGAATATTTTAAAATCGCGTTTTGGTAGGAGATTAAATGTTTCAAAGTTTTACTTTTGATAATATTTTCTTTAAATAAATTAACATGTTTGCGGTAAAGGGTTACACTTATAGTTATACAACATTATTTCATAAAAAGATACTTAATATATTTTTAAATTGTAGACATCAATATTTTTGTTTTTATAAGAGATAAAGACTTTAAAAAGATTGTAAGTATATTTTTATTATTTTTAGACTTGTGTAAATTCTAATATATCGCACACCTTGATCAAAACTGTAACAACTTAAAAGGGGGTATTTTTAGTTATTTGTATATTCGGATTCTACAAACGAAGTTGCATGAACCAACAAAACAAATTAAACTTTATCTTGATTACTCTCCAAAAGATGACGCTGTAGGTACCTTTTGTAAAAATGACTAATCCCATAATTCTTACTATCAAAATTCAAAACCGTTTAAAACTTTAGTTTCTGCCCGGACATCAAGCGGAGTGCACGTGCGTTGATTGTACAAAACTGTTTTATTAAATTAAACAGTTAAAGTAATTAAACTTGAAAATTAGTTTTTTTGGAATTCCTGAAATAAGGTGTTTTTTGAGTTGCTACAGTATTGTTCTAACTTCTAGGTGTGCGATATGTACCAAATGTACACTAGAACGTCTTATGTATTTGAACCGGCTTATAATACATATTATTATATGATATTATAGTGTTTCATACAGAAACTTACCCGAGTGTTAATGCCCATTCCCATGTTAAGTTGGTTAGAGTGTAATGAGCTATTACGGCGGCCGCCAATGCTTCGGCCACGCATGGAAATATCGCTAGTTTGATAACAGATCCGCTAAGTCGACGCAACTGTCCAGGGTCGAGACCAAGACCGCCTTTGATTAGGATAACCGACAACGCCGCTTCTCTGTGTGTTAATATTACATAAGTGACCCATTGTTAATATTATTATTGTCATTACACCATCACAGTATAAAGATTTCTCAAAATGCAATTATTTAGCCACCTAACTAAAGTCCACAGATATAACTTATATTTTGAAAACAATACAACTGTTTAAAATATAGTATAAGGATATCATAAACGTCACGTTACCTAATAAATATGTGCATTTTGATTTTTTTTTTTTTTTAATTTAACAACGATCATATTTAAAAAATTAATTTTGAAAAGTTCATACTATACCAATAAGTCGTTATTCAACGTTAGTCTTATAACTTTGTGTACCTCATGATCGCCACCAGATGAATGCACCAACTGGCTTTGAGAACATATAGGCCGCAGTTCTGTAGCGCTATTCCGGCCACCAGCATTCCCAAGAGCGGCGGTAGACCTGCGACCTCTTCGACTAGCCAACCGGCAGCCGCGCCTGCCACATACAGCAAGTACAACGAAGTAACGCTTCCGCCGGGAAAGGCCGTCAAGTATGGCGACAAGTTCACGTAGAGTAAGTACCATACGATAACCACAGAAAACAATACGGTAAAACAGCTAGATAGGGCTGCCGACATTCGATGGTCGCACAGTTCATCCGAAGCTATGGCCTCGTTGCTAGTGAACTGAATCCGGTGCCTTTCGCCGTTTTCCATTTCGGATAGACTGCTTTTACCTTCACGGTCGCCGTCCTTGTCCTTTTCGACCAGTGAAGGAACAGCTGTAAACAATATCCGCCGTTTTAAATCTGTACCTCAGTGGCGATACGGAAAACAAATTTGAGATCAATAATGAGACAATTCCCGAAAGAATGAGATGTAGGTTTTCACCACGATGCCGTTGACTTGTAGGTGCTTAGAAAGTCAAAAACAATAGTCAACACAAAGAGATTAAACAAACGAAGGAACCGAGTATCCAATTTCATTTTTGAAAGCCATTATGATTTCACAAACAACCAACAATTTCTTCAGATGGGCGATTTTGAAACCAACCAATATTTTCTCAATATAGTTTGAGATAATTATAATCTTTATTTTATATTCACTAATAGTTTTACATACCATGCAATACAGTGTTCCCAATTAAAAAAAAGTTATTTAAAATTAAATTCATATTTGATATCGTGAAATGTACATCTTAATAGTAATAATGCAATCAATTAAAATGATAGTGGTCAATACCTCTTTGTTTTTATTACTTAACCACGATATTTTTATGTTTATCATGAACTTTATAATTAACAGCTACTGGAGTGTACAAGATTAACTGTGGATATTTTAGATAAGAATTGTTTCTCAGTTATATATTATAATATACATATTTTTTTTATAATTTGTGATTTTATCTTGATTCGTAATGCAACTATTTTGTCTATATCACCAGAGGAAAATAAATATATGCAAAGAACATTTGTAACGAGAACTTTGATAAAAAAAAAAAATGTACACGATTGTGACTTATCAGTTTCTATTGCCAATAAGAACAATATTGTAGTTATGGTCGATTATTATAGATAATAAACGGTGAAATATATAATCGTGTTTTACTCACCGTGTGTATAATATAATATTATTCAGGCATAAGTAGTTTTCCAGAGACGTACAGGCTCACCAAAGTCCTTACTCAATGTGAAGTGTGGAATATTATGATATATAGATGGATCAGTAGATGTCACATGTTGTACACTTACGTATAGCTACAACTGTTAATAGTAAAACCGCACACGATTAAAAGGTAAAACAAAAATCGAACGACTGATAATTTCGGTAAAGGTAATAAATATTACTACAGTTTAAAGTGTTTTCGGCGACTGTCAAAAGTGGTCTCGCACTGCCTACCGAGTGCGGGACGATTACTTATACTATTATGCTTATTGTATTGTCTGTATACAGGATGTTTCAGAAAGAAAATTGAACACAGCAAGTTAGGTTAAAGTTTTCTTTATAAAAAAAAAAAATTGTATAGATTAGCTTGGAGAATTCACTATGGGCCGTCAAGTTGAAATTACAGAAATTCGTGTTTATTTTAAAATGTACACTCATTTTTTGAGGGTAATTATTGTGTTTAATAAGTGGTCGAAGAAGGAACCAATGACAATAATTATAATTTTATAGAGGTACTAAGATTGATCTGAAAAATTCAATTCGGAATCGTCGAATAATAACTAATAAATTACATTGCTTATTATTTTAAACTTGGAAGACACGTACGCCGTGTTTAACAAGTAAAACTTCTACTGTATGATTTCTGTTTAAAATGTTGAATGTCAGTATTTCTATTGTTCTAAAACGCTCTGTATACTACGTGTACGGTGTATGTACTGATATGATGTGCTTTATCTTCGTAGCGTTATCATGTGTGTAGAATAAAATAATAATGGTATGAAAAAAGGCCGTTCACCTACGACACAAACGGTATAGGTGAATCGGGCAAGGTCGAGAAACCGGTAGCCATTTACAAGTTACAACACATAATAACTACAATAACAATAAAATGATAAACTAATATCGATTTCCTACAATTCGCATCTTGTACCTGTTATCGCCCGTTGAATATATACACACGCCAACAACAAATGATCGTGTATTGTATTTTTGGCCGAATCGAAAGCAGCAATAGCAATAATTGTTGTAACACTCGTGTAAGTGGAGGGAATGTTAAGTAGTTTGACCTCGACGCGGTATAATTAGTATAAACAACTAGAATGATTAAAATATAGGCGTAATACGGACTACATACCCGACAAAAAGCTAAATAGCATAATAGAGCAAACAAAAATTTTGAATTACTAATAACTGTTGATGATTCAATCTATTGTGATTGTAAATGTACTTACTTTCTGGGTTTTTTTTATTCAACGAAAACTTAATAATCAGCTGTTAGCAGTTACGTAGTATAATAATATGTCTAGTGATGTTAGTGACAAAAACCTATAATCTATATACCTAGGGAACTGAACTCATTTTCCTGTAAAACTTGCAATAAAAGTTCGGCTTATAAAAAGTAAATACCTTAGGAACAAAACCAAAACCTGAAAGTAAGGGCTAAAAAACATGGTGCTTGATTATTCTTATAGAGTACCTATGACCCTATATTTTATATTATTCATAGAAAACAACTTTAAAGCTCATTGATTTACAAAAAGGGTTACTGGACATTTTAAATCAAAAGGTAAATATAATTATAGGATTTTAAAACTATAAAAAATGTAATTACAACAAGTTTCTATACAACAAACACTCCATCGCGGTCTATGATGAATTTTATCAATACACACTATATAAAAAAAAAATTACACAGTTCAAAATATGTTGAATGCTGTAACGTACCTACTGTCTGGTTAAGTGCAGTGGTCGTCGATAAGGCTAAGGACGTGGATCTCTGGCACGGGAAACGGTTGGCTAAGCCGTGTGCTACACGTAATAACCTTAACGTCCCTTTTAAAACTTAATATATCGCCCGAAGGGCTTAAACGGGCGGTCACGCTTATAAGGTAGTCGACTCTCAAGTGCAAGCTACAAGGTGTTAATTAAAGTTACTAAATAAAATAAAGTTATAGTACATGCATAAAATAAATATATAAATATTTACACTCTGACCTGACTCCGGATGATTGTGGTACGTCAGGGCAGAGCGGAGTTGAGGTGCACACACAGATGATGGCGTACGGCAGTAGGCGGGTGCGCGAATTAGAACACAAGATCGTTGCGAAATATGTTAGCACCGATGGTAGTTATCAATTGGTGTAACATTGGGATGACGCGCTAGCCGTCATCTCTGTGTGTCAACACTGCTCCCCCCCTTAAACGGGTTAATTAGTGTCTGTGTACATGTGGTCTGGAGTCAACAGGAACGGTTAGATAATGTAACCGTTACAATGCTAAAAAAATAAGGTAACCCTTTAAATATTAACTTGTATTGCATAGTTTATTTTTTGTCTATTTAGAAATCTTGAAATAAGATATTAATGACACAAATAGGTCACATAAAATATAAGATTAGGTAATGATTGACGTATTATATCTCGATAAAAAGCTAGACTTAAATTTTGAGAAAATAATTCATCTTAATAAAAATATTATTATATTATTCATAACTTGTTTTTAAAATGTTGAAAGACTAAAGAGTTGTCATATTATTATTATATTGTAGACTAATTTAACTAATACAATTATTTGAAATGTCTTTGGAGATGATTTTATATTTTTATGGACTACTTATATTATGTCTTATGGCCTATTGGTAGTAATTAGTTTGTTTAGTGATGGCTTTACCGTTATGGCTCATGCTGCCGTAGTCAACAACAGGTGGATCCGTTTGGCGGCTGTTTATGGCAAAATTCTCTGTGTTAGCGGGAAGTGACATCACAACACCTGATATAGCTTATTTAACTAAAAAAAAAAAGAAATGTGATATGTCAAAAAATTATTATAAAAAAAACCATTAAACGGTAATTAAATTGCAACGAAAACGGCATGAAGCTGACGACTAGTGATTTAAAGATACAAACAAACCTATTTTTAATGAATTTTTTTTATCGACACTTGTTTTCATTTTTTTTTTTTTTTTTTAAAGAAAAACAATATAATTTATGTAAAGGTACTATGGAATGCGATTAAAAAAAACCCGGAACAATATCATTGGTAAAATAGGTGCAGTCAGCTAATTGAGATAATACCTACATTAATATTTATCATCATCACTTGGTATTAATCATTAGTAAGCCGATGTATTAAATTATAGTGATTAGGTGTACTTATTTCCGTTGCGGAATTACTGTTATCTTATTGCTTTTGTTATGAATCTTGTTGTTGCTTATGTTATCATAAAAAAACCACTGTTAATAATTTAAGTCCTTACTTTTAAAATAAAAACTAAATATAGCTCAATAGTTTTGAACAAAATAATGTACATAACTTGTTCAATCATAAAAAAACCACTGTTAATAATTTAAGTCCTTACTTTTAAAATAAAAACTAAATATAGCTCAATAGTTTTGAACAAAATAATGTACATAACTTGTTCAAACATTCCATCAACTAATGCTACAATTAAAATATTGATGTAGAGTTCTACTTATGAATGTCTTTAACAAAATTATAATATAATAGTATACATTACTAATTTATTAGAATTTAAATAGACATGAAAGACTTTTCATTACAAGGTTCATTTACAAATACATCTTTCAATATTTATGACTACGGCTTATGACCCAAGTCATTGTAAAGAAAAACATTATTTCTCTATTTTCAGAGTCTTATATAATTTTGTCTACGAATATGTCGGGTAATATCGTTTAGAACGTCAACCAATACCGCTGTGTAGAACCATTGTAAACTAATTAAAGAATGGTATACCAATAGGTACTAGATGAATAAACTACAGAACCTTATGTTATCGATTACCGCCGACCTGATTATTAGTGTTCATTTCGCTATGCAAAATTTAAAAGGCTTATAACTTTTAGCAATTAAAAAGTTTTGTTTCTTCCGTGACATTGCCTAATAGATGGCCACGCATACTATAATTTTAAGGAACATTGTAATTATAGAGTAGGAAATTAATTATTATGTTTAAATTCTTGTATTCTTTCAAACACCATAAGAGGTTTTTAAATAGTTTGACATATTATATTCGTTGAATTCGCGATAGAAATTTCCTCTACACACAATCATAGCTAAACTGAGTCATCGGTTCGAGTGGTTATATTAACTCACTAAGATCTTTTTTTTTTAATGCAAAATATTTATATTATCAATACTACAGAAGGAAGAAAAGGTTTGCTGATACGATGGTGAATATTATTTTAAATTTTACTTATAACTACAGGACTAGGAGGCAGAACATAGGTGTTCGATATATTGTCCTAGTATCTACAGCAAGAGTTTTTTTTCGTTAATAATTTAGAGTAGTTAGATCAGTACACGTTTATAGAAAAAAAAGCACAACTTTTCATAATTTTTGAGTTGCCAAGTTAATATGTGGCCTAAATCCTAATAGCAACAATAAGTCGGGAAGTTAATGGAAAATTGCTGTTATCTTCTCGGCATTAAATAGGAAGTCAATCGATACATCGATGCCGATTATCCATAGTTGGGAAGTATCCGTGAATGGACATTCGACATGTTTAGAATAATCTATTAACTTTAAATTAAATGTCGAAAAGGTAATGGGAACTTCTCATTAGCTTCCCAACTTCCCGATGCTCGAAGGGAGCAAACGAATGTAGGTAAGCTGTTTGAAAGCATGTAAGAGTGTTGCAAATGAATGCTTAAATACCTGCTACTAAGTATACTTGCAAGTACATTTTTATTAATTCATGTCAATCAAGAGCTCATCATTCATGTTCGACTAACCGCGTTGAAGAAAATAAATATGATTTATTAGTTTATACTCTAAAATAAATTAAAAACGAATAGTGTTTATGTAGTTTTGTTATAATTTTTTTTCTAGAATTGGCCATCCCAACAAGAAATAAGTAAGACTAAAGACCAATTATTTTTTACCGAACACAGATTCATGTACATGGTCGGTCTGAATCGGGTGCTGAACCCAGACAAAACCAATAACTTGGTCGTAGGAGGATGCAACATTTACAAAATCATTTATTCGATAGTCCCGATTTCTTATGCAGTGCTGGCGATATTTAGTGCAATCGGTGTCTACTATTGGGCCAGTGACTTTAATACTTGGATAAACTGTGTGTTCTTGTTCGTGATATCCTTCATTCTACTATTGAAAGTCATTAGAATCAATCACACCGCCGACACTATATGGAAATGTTTCGACATTTTGTGTGACGATTTCTTGACTTACTGTGGTCGCCAAAGAAGCGGCGTATTGGACGGTTACAAAAAGAAAATCTCGAGGGTCACAAACTTGTACACGATAGGATGGGTTTGTTTTGTTGTTTGTTGGTATAGCAATCCGGTGTTCATCAAACAATACATTGCCGAAAATCCCAAAGGACAACTATTGGTATACCGAAACAACGTGTTGAATACATTATTCTATCCGATTCAAGTGGACCACTACAACAGATTTTATGCATTATTTTTTATCGCGGAAGCTTTAATTGCGGCGTGGTACTTAGTCATCACTTTCGCATTCTATTCGTTTACAATAGATTTTTGTTGGACGTTTGTAGCAGATTTAAGAACTATCGCTTCAGCGTATGAGTCATTGGGCAACGAGGACGATTGCAGTAAGGAAACAAGTCATGTTATTATTATATATTTTAAAAATGTTGTTGAGAATTTATGTTCTGCGGCTTGTTTTAAAAATTGTGGTAGAGAATGCGAAAGTATGATTTATTTTTCAGCTGAGACGTTAATTAAAAAATTCAAAGCAATTACATATGATCATCAAAAAGTGATGAAGTACGTATACATTTTATAGTATTAATTCGTATAATGATGTAGTTTAATATTTACATCAATTGATTATTATAATTTATAATTATTTCCTTAATTTAAAATAACTATGATAGACACATACCCACGAAAATCGGGTTGATCTTTTAAATTTTTAATATCACTGATATTAATTCTTGTAATCTAACAAATATTTAAAATTTTTACTATCACTATTATTCATTCTTTAATAAATAATAGGTATTTCTATTGTAAAAATATAAGATTATAATAGGGTAGAGACCTTACCTATGACCAGTATACTTGCTATAGAGCTATTGCCACTCGATTATATAAACGTTTTAAAGAGTATAATTCATCATTGGGCTACATACCATTCATACATGTGGTTATAGTTTTATTCAGTTAACCATTCTGTTTAATAAAACAATATTAATTCTTAAATGTTTGAATAAAAAATAATGTGGCCATAGATGGGGAAACTGTATTATTATTATATTTTATATAATTTTTCTTTAATATAGCTTTTGACAACTAGAATATTAAATATAGCTATATCGGGTATGTTACAAAGTATATTATATGGATTAATTTTCAAATATTGTACATAATATTGTAAGTAGAATAAATGTAATAGATGTATAAAGAAAATTCTTAAGGTTGCTATAGGTGGAATCTTTACCCTACTTATCTAATATTTTATAGATTTATATGTATTGGTTATTACATCAAACAATTACTTTATGCATATTTTTCAGTGTCATAAAACAATTATATGATAGTTTAAAGCCAATTATAATTATTGAAATAGGAAGTACGGCGTACACATTTATTTACATGACTATCGAATATATTTCAGTAAGATTCAATATGAATTTCAGTACTTATCCAATGATTATCATAATTATATGTTATAAAATGTATCCTACATTAGTTATTACTTTCAGTTTTATATGGAAGGGCTATCGCTATATAGTATTGCGTCGCTGAAAATCCTCTCTACAATGGTTAGATGTATAATCCATTTGTACATCTTGACTTATCATTTTGGATTAGTTGATCACGAGGTAAACAGCGCTTTCGTACATAACATTTACATAACTGTAATAATGTATCGAATAGAAAACATGTGTAATTACAATAAAATTCACCAATAAAAGCATTTAAATAATAATATGACAATATAACTGGTACTTTGTTCGGTTTACAGATAAATGCACTGAACTTCTCGTTGTACAGTTGCGATTGGACGTCTAAAGATATTAAATTCAAAAAACTATTATTGATGGCAATGCAAATTAATAACGCCAATGATATCAAAATGAAAGTTTCACCGAAGAAAGTCGTAAATTTAGAAATGCTTGGAAGTGTACGAATAATAATATTGCAGTATTTAAAGAAATATCTTTTTAAAGTATTTAAGAACTTCGGTGCTTAGTCAAAAGGTATAAAGTCAAAAAACACAAACTTTTCAGGATGAATTTATAAATGTTCAAGATCTAATGTTTTAAGTACTATTTTGGAAAAACCTGACTTAATTTATTTTGACCATGCACCGCAAAAAAACATTCAAATATAATAACAAATACTTTTTTATAATATTTGTATTATTGTATAAAGTATATAAATTAAAACTTAGCAAAACCATATTACGATCAAAATACTTATAAAGAAGACAAATGTAATTGTAGTTTTTTATAAAAAAAAAACAATAATTTTAGTATTTATTTTTTTGGGTAATTTAAATTTAAAAATTAAAAAAATTGTCGATCATTTTATTAAAAAACGCCCTATTTAGTTAGCCATATTTGTTTGCATTTTTCCCATTTGAAAACAATATATTTGATTTTTTTCAGGTGTTGCAAACATCGTATTCCGTTATTTCAATAATAGCAAAGAACAAAAAACAATGAAAGAAAAATAAAATCTCAATATTTATTACATTTATTTGAACCTATTATAGTTATAACATACGAATATTTTAATGTATATCACGTGTCACTCTTATATATAATTATTTACTAATTAATAATTATTAATATAGTATTATATTATCCTCTGCACAAGTTTTTATCATAAGCTTGCTAGTATAGTATTCACTATAAGTTTAATTTTTGACTTTTCAAAAACCCTTAATATATGCAAGTCCTTGTAATAAAAAAAAACAATTATCCTAAATTATGTGATATTGTGTTATTAATCGCACAACTCATTCGGTTTCCTCCTGAATTTGTAAAATAGTCTATAAAATACAAGTCATATAAATTTTATGATTTTATACCTTAAGTTTATGTACATATTATATTTTATATATGCGTATTTGATTTACATATATAACTTAGGAATATATGATTTATTAGTATAATTATTTTATTTTAAATATTTTTTAGTAAATTAAAAAAAAACAATACAATAGAAATTAAGCAAATATTGCAAATGATGAATCATCTAAATTGGTTACAACAACTTACATTAATGAAGTTAGTTTAACAACATTTTTGTAGTATAAACAAATATAGTATAGTCTGTTGAAAAATTAACGGCGTAATTAAAGGCGTTGGTAGTTTTATTAAAAGCAAGAAGTATGAAGTTTATTTATTATTGGTCACATAAGCCGAAGAATTTATAAAGGTTGAATCTGATATTCGTATCAACAAGAAGTATATCACATATAGTGCCCACAATACAATTATATATAGAAATGTGTTAACCATTTTATGTTGGTATAATTGTATGTGTGTCTCCAGTTAGATCACAACCGACTGGACCGATTATCATGATATTAGTTGCTTTAAAAACCTAAATGTCAATATTAAGAAACAACTTTTAAATTAAAAAAAAAATTAACGTGCTGTCGTTATATTTGTTGTCCAATTTCATTTTTTTTTTTAAATAATAATAATATTAATTATTTATTTAAGTTAAGTATAAGAGTTTATATTAAATAGTACAACAACTGATAAGTAGAAACAACTCATTAATTTGTGTGACATGCGCAGGCGTCACTGTTTAAGGCTTAAGTAATTGTTTTTGTGTAGCAAGTGTTTACGTTTACAGTTAACGAATTATTGTTATTTACAGAATTATGTCGATGACTTACCGCTATTTTGGACGTGACGTCGTTAAAACTCCTTAAAACAATTTAGGTATATATTATGTGTAATTCATTTTATTTCACGAACTAGTCGATTGTACGAGGTTAATCTCTCAATTATATTATAAAAATGAGTCAATTACAGTGTATACTTTGCCTCTGTGACGCAAGTAAATTATAAGCGAGTAAAAATATAAGATATAAATATAATAAATATATTAGATAATGTAAAAAAAATGTAGGTAAGAAAAATAATACAATTATTAGTAAACATGAGTTAGTCAAACATAAACGTTTCGATCAATCACAATCGGTGTACAACCGAAGCTGTTGTAGTCTATAAAAATACAACAATAACAATATCGAGTTCAATAATTGAATTATCCAGTATGCGGTCGGTGCGCCTATATACAGGATGTGCGCATAAAATCTTGTCATATGTATTATTCAGAGTACACGCATAATAGTACACATGCGAGTGAAATTTTTACTGTCCACACGAACCATATCGGCGACGACAAGACGTAAACCTTTCCCCTTGTGAGTGTTGTATGTACATTTTGTGGTTGTGCTGCTGTTACAAGTGATAGCATCGAATGACCTACGCATAAAACTGATATTATATCTACTAACCCGAGTCAATACGACCAGTACCATTTTTCGAAAAACTATACTTTATGTATCCCATAAAAAGCATCAAGCTTACGAATGACGCGAACGCTCGAGTATTTAAAACGAAAAAAATGGTATTAATTATGTAGAATGAATAAAAAATGATTCGGCAATGTTTGTACAAAAACGGATAAGTCGACGTGTCCGTTTGGCTAACCTTAAATGATTCAAGGAAATTATTGGGAAATAAGTGCAACTAAACTCACACATTGACTATCAAGAACAATCCACATCTATGTGGGTTATGAAATTACCTTTAAAGCATACGTAATAAAAATTATTCGATTTTGTTTAAAAAAAAAAAATTATTTTAGCACTGCAACCCACAATAGAGTACCTAATCTTTTTATCATTTATATATATATTTTTTTTTTCCTGTCGTCCAGATCACTACGGTCAGCTATAATATTATAATATTTTATTGTTTACCTATAAGAATGATTGATTTCCCATGCCTTCCCTCAATGCATAGTTTTATCCAGGTGTTGGTCGCTTATAAAAGCAGCAAAACGTGTCTTTTCAAAAGTAAGCCAGGTTTTAGGATTAACGAAATAAACCCGAAGCTCCAAGGAACACAACGGTTGCCTAATCGCCATAATATGAAACTCAATCGCTCAAAGAGTGTAACAAAATATAATATGATGTTTTATAGTAGCTAAGGCGTTACGTTGTAATTTGTGTATATCCTTCTTCCTTAAAAGTAGAAATGTTTAAAGTATATAAACATACAGAGCAGTAACGTGAATTTAGCGAAAGCATTTAACTAGTACAACGAGTGTTGTTATAATAATATGTTCTAAAAGTTGTATTACCTTTGATTATTCATTCAATATTATATGCATATCTCATCAAAGCATCGCTTAGAGGTAGAGCAATGAAAGTGAGTTAATAGATTGATTAGATGCGAAAACAGCGACAGTTTTTATCTATACCTATTGGTTATGAAAAAATCTATGTTGTATGTCGTAAGTATCTGGGACCATATTATGACATCCGGTATACTTTGCAAGTGTTTATACAATTTTCCAAGTACAATACAACGGAACAACCGTTTAATAATAATATTTAAATGGAATGTTTTTTGTTTATAAATTTGGGTATTCAATTTGTACACAACTCCAATTAGGAATACACGAATGTCACGTCGGTACAATAAGCGATTGGATTGTATTATTATAATGTATATATATTTATATATAATGTATATATAATTAACCATTACTGTTTAGCGGATTTGTGTTAACAACATTCTGGTCAATTCCGTGCACAGATGAAATAATATTGGAGTAAACGACGATTACCTCGTATATTATAATTTCCAGAGGGTGTTCCCGAGGGAACAGTCGCAAGCCGGTGACAGGAGAGTCACGTCTAACGCAATCATCGTTTCCAAATTGGTTCAGACATTCATCCTCGGCAGTATAGTAGATCCATTCATGAAGAAAATTACTCCAGCCCTTCGATGCGGCGGTTTAACGCTGCCGAGTGGTCTTCGGGGTTTAAGCCAACCACCTTTTTTTTTTTTTTTAATTTAAACTCTTCTCTCGCACTTGTATTACTTGGGCACAAGCGCCTAAGCTCTACGGTTTAAGATTTTCCTGTGTGCTCGACGTGAAGACGGCCAACGAAATTCAATTACCTCCCCGACTCAATTTGCGAGCAAAACTGCGGCCAAGTACAATAATAATGTGAGTGGAAAAAAACACACAGAATCGAATTTTAATTGGCTCCAATAATCGGTTCGATTTTGCGTATATACGTTCAAACGACACTCGCAGAACTTGTGTTTATATTTTATAATGAAGTAAGTAATTCAAAAATGCCTAAAAATCGTTTGTCGTTTCCTGAGTACGTCCCGGATCACTTGATGTTGGCAATTATACACTTATAAATCGACTTACGATGTCTTAGACTATACAAGTGCGTTTAGCTATGGTTAAAAAAGATCTGCGCGTTTTGCTACTAAACGAATGACATCAACATTAAAACCACGCTAAATATAATAATTATTATCACAGAAAAACAAAAAAATAACGAATTGTGTAGTAACTATGTAAAATTTGTTTGTTTTTTTCAATGATATATGACATTTATTTTGCCTTCCGAACTTTGTTGTTTTAATAAAAAAACACCATGTTTGTCCGGCAACGCTGATTGTATAATAAGATATTAATAATATAATAAAATGTGCAAATATCACATGCACAATACGGGCCGGAAACACTGTTTAAAACACTTTCACCGTAAAGCGAGGTCTGACGAAAAATAAAATTGAACTGTGGCTTTTATGGAGCAGCAACTCTATTAAAGGAAAAAGCAGTGAGTAGAGCACTATATATACATAGAAAGAGAGATACAAGTATAAATAAAAGTATACGGGAAAAAATAATAATAAAACGATTTGGTCACAGCCGACCGTAAGAAGCTTTTCGCCTCGATTGTGTACAACATCAGAGTCGTACTTACTAATTTACATAAGTTTACCGTATACGCGACTTGTATCGAATTTTTTCTTCATTCAGTTTCCTTTTTTGTTTTTGTGTTTTTCCTTGCAGAAGACAACCCATTGAACAAGTCATCACCTTCTTACGATCGCTCGGAGAGCACCGCCGTTGTTTTTCCTTCCATTTCCTCTTTATTTTTCAGTTCCATACAACTTGCATATCTAATGATATTACCAGCGGACGACGGAAACCCAGTCACACACTGACACAAGTCCCCTTAACGCAAAGTATCCACTCGTCACGAAACAAACGACCCGAAAACCCCGAGCAAAAAAACTACACGAGCAAATGCAAAATAAAAATATACCAAACAACAAAAAAAAAAACCTGGAAAAGAGAATAACAAAATAGACAACAAAAACGCTAACAGAATTATGATTGGATCTAAAGCCGTATTACCGTTTTGTACACACAAATACATTACTGGGCGACGTACCATTCCCCTCCCTCTCTATACTTTGATAGTCAAGTTTTTTTTGTCCACCGACATTGAATTTGTATTAACTTGTACATTTTATTTGACTGCCCTTCTGTAGGGTCCCAATCAACAGAATGACGCTGAAATCACGTATGATGTGCAATATGCTGTTTATATAATGTTAGCATCTGAAATATGTATAATAATAAATAATATATAATACAATAGTATAAATATGTATAATATTATAAAATAAACAAT